TGGGTCCCCTTAGGGCAAACCCCTTTCAAAGACTAAGACTCAAGGGTAATACATGCTCTGATTGGTGACCACGTTTGTCACTGATAAAGGGAAGTGAGGGAAAAACAGCAATGAAGCTGCGAGCTAAGCCCTACAACATTCAGTAGACTCCTGTGAACCCAGGTGGAGATCTGGTTGGCCAGCAATATGGCAAGACCTGGAGACTCTTGAGCCCAGAATCAGTGACATAGCCACAGAGGACTAGAGTGGAGAATGAAGTGTCCAGCTGATAAGAAGAGAGGACATATGCACAAGAACACCCACACTTGAAGATAATACCCACTTGACCTGGCTTCAATGACTGGATGATCAGAACTCAACTAGAATAAGAAAGAAAATGGAAAAAAAGAGTAATCTGATACAATATGATGAACTTGACCTACACATATGGATGCTGTAGCTCAAAAGAGGGAACAAATCTTTACAGCGAGGATCATTCCCACCCCCTATCTACACAGGGTAGACAGGGATGGGCAACTTGGACATTGGCTACCCAAAATGGGAGTGGGGGGGTGGGGGGTGGAAGGCTACAAAGGCAAGAAGTGACTGTCTTACAAGCTTTCAAGAGGGAGCCTAGATCCAGAGTGTGTGGAGAAAGGTAGAATATCCACTGAGTAGTATCCAATCTGTCTGGCTGGATCTGATGAAAGGAGATGCAGATAGGTCTCTTGTGATACAATAGTGAATAATTGTGATCAGGACTGACTGTGAGGGTTGGAAATGTAAAGGTGGACGTTTTGTAACAAAAGGAGGGGAGTGATTGACTTTGCAGTCCAGGAGCACAAGTCCCTGGGACCATCAAGGGAGAAAAGGGGAGAGGGAGACCGTACCCAGAGAAGCAGTGATGCCAGAGATGGGGGCAGAGATGATGATGCAGCTGGGGACTTTAGACCCAGAGAGGGAGAGGGGTTGTGTGCTGATGACCGGGGGACAGGCTTGCAGGGTATAACCTTTGGTTAGTTGATGATGTATGGAGGGGATTGTAACCATGGCAAAGAAACGATATATGATAGGATGAATGTAAAGCTAATGTTCTCCCATGTAAACTATCACATAATACACAATAAAAAAATTTTTAAAATAAATAAATGAAGCATCCAATAGACTAATGAAACATATGAACATCAGTCTCCATGATCCTGAGACCATAGCATTAAGATGATGCCCAGCTACCACTACCATTAGAAGGTCTGGGATAGAGTGAAAGAAAATGTGGAACAAAACTCAAAGTTTAAAAAAAGAGAGAGATCAGGTTTACTGGTCATAAAGTCTGGAGGAACCCAAGACTATAGCCCTTGTTCAACTTTCATATCCAGAACTGAACACACCCTTGTGACTCAATTTCCAGACAAGCAATAGATAGGTATATAGGGGGAACAACATTAGTGAGATATGTACATCATGGAATGATCAACCATTCAAGATCAACAGGGCAGCATTATGTACAGACAAAATTCAAAAGGGTTGGAAAAGAAGGTTGAATGAAAACAAGAATCATCTGGAGGAAGTGAGAGAACTGATGTTACATGGAGAGGATGCAATCTTTGAAATGAAATGAAGAGCGTGATTTGTTGAATGTAAAACTGATAATCTGCTCTGTAAATCTTCACTCAACTCACAATACAAAGTTTAAAAATAGACTTCTATATCACAAAAAATAAATTTAAAAATATATACTTTAATTGACCCATTTAAAAAAAGAAAGTGAAGTACAGGGCAGAGCTTGGATGAATCTTGAAAATATTATACTAAGTGAAAGAAGACAGTCACAAAGAACAATATATTGTATGATTCCATTTGCATCAAATGTCCAAAATAGGCATCAACTATCCAAAATAGGCATATCTAGAGATAGAACATCTATGTTCTAGCAGTTGCCTAGGGCTGATGGAAATGAAGGGAAATGGGGAGTGTTGTTTTGTTGTTG